AGCTCCAGGCCCTTGCACTCTCCAAGAAAGCCTGGTCTGTCCCTGGCAGTACCCCAAACCCACCCTGCCTGCCCTCACAGACCAATCCTGGCTTTCCACTAAAAAATATTTTAATGGTTTCCTGTTTCCTGGAACTGCCTGAAGTCCAAAAGCTTTTGTCCTGTTCTTCAAAGTCCCCCAGGACAGGGCCCTCACACACTGAGCTGAGTGGTCAAGACAGATCTGAGTTCAAATCCTGCTCTGCCAACTGTTAAAACAGTGTCACCTCGGGAAAGTCACTTCATTCACCCCTTTGCCTCCATATCCACATAAAGTCCTTCGCTCAGGGTAAACATGGGTATCTACTATTGCTGTTATGCATTTAAACTCATCTTAGTCAGACCTGTCTCGATACTACCCCCTTGAATTTGCCACTCCTGTGCCTCTACGTGGAATGACTAGTTCCTTTATTTTGGTCTAAACCTCCATCTAACATTGTTGAAGCTTAGACCTGCTCAGGTCCTTGTCAGAGGGAGCCCAGAAGGTACGAGGCACAAAAAAATGTAAGGTCACCTCCATGGGTGACCCTGCTCCCTGATGAAGTTTGAGTATCTGCAGGACTTTAGGTAGAGGTAATATAGCACAACAGTTAAGAGTATGAACTGTGGAGCCAGACCGCCTATCTTTATATTTTGGCTACACTACTTTAGGCAGGTACCTTTTTCGACACTTGGCCAATGAATTTATGTATATAGTTTTTGGAATAGCTCCTAGAAAAGACCCAGTGCTCAATATTTTCTAGCTAGAATTATTATTATATCCTCTTATTCTAGACCCAGGAATAGTGATGCTCTAAGACTGGAAAAACAAAGTCAAAGACACCTTGACTTGTTACACATGCCCCCAAATTTTCTCCAATCCCTGTCTCTTTCTGGGTTTTTACAGCACCTGGGAGGGAGAGAGAAGGGCCAGGAAATCCTTATTAACTGGGAGAAAACAGGGTCAGGGGTTAACTGGTGTGTTCCAGGTACCAGACTGGGCATCCAAGACACAATGATCCCCCCACTCATTAGCAAACATGACTCTATCATTCTCTTCTGGCTTCCTTTAACCAGTGCCTGCTGAAGGGGGCTGACTAACCCAAGGTTAAATCACAAACCTCTCAGATTGAGTCAGGTCAAGCCACTTTACTATGGCTTGGAAATCCACCTCCCTTATTCCATCCATTTTAACTAGTACTTCAAAAAGTTATGGAGATATCACCTCCTGCTCGCTGCAGCCTCTGGGGTCTTTTACTCATAGAGCTCTTTTAAACCTCCTTAGTGGTTGGGATAGTATAGTGGTCAAAGGCAGGCTCTGGCATCAGAATGCCTGGTTCTGACCTTAGTCAATATTACCTCTTGTATTATGTATGATCTTGAATATACGACTTCACCTTATTCAGTCTCAGTGTCCTCACTAGTCTAATGAAGCTAATGAAACAGTTGTAATGAAGATTAAATGAGGTCATATCTAAAAAGCGCTTTAAAAGTGTATGCTTACACACTTAATGCTTAAACATATTTCCTCTTATTACTAATGGCTTAGTGTGAGTTAGGTCTTATACAGACAGACTTACAGATTTCTCAGAAACAAGGCTATAAACTGAAGCCAGACACAGAAACCCAGAAGGTCTGAGCCAGTGGGGACCTCAGATGACAACCTGCTGGCCCTGAATAATTCTCATCGGGGGTCATAAATTCAAGATTCTCAAGAGGCCAGGCAGGTATCAGAAATGCCCTGGGGGCCAGGGGAGGGAGACAGAGGCAGACTTGGACATATGTGTAGGGTTTAAAGGAAGCAGCAAATATTCAGCTTCATTTTATTGTTGCTACTGAGACATCAGACCTTGAGTTGTGAGATATTTTGACTTTTCAAGATAAGTCAGAAATCTGCTTTTTAGAGGTAAATTCCTGATTTCATACATCACCCTAACTATCCGCCCC